GCAGCCTTGCATGGTTCAAGCCTTTTGGGTAACTGTGGAAACAGCACTGAGGAATTTGTCTTGGGCAATCTGGAGTGCTTCCCTGGGATGATCTTGCAAACATTATGAAGTCTCCTGGTTGCAACTGAGTGTATCTGAACATTGTGCTGGAGACATTGCTTAAGAATATCATGACTGCAGCTGATGCAGAAGGGACATTGTGGCACGCTGCCTCTTCAGATAGGCTTTGGAGATGGCAAAAAGTGAGGTCTGTAACTCGCCAGTGGTTTTCTTTGCAATATACAACAAAGACAAATGGAAATTGTCAGCTATCCCTGAAAAGATCTGCAAGATTTATTTTTAGAGTAGCCTGATGGCTTACTTTGTTACAACCCTCACTACTGATAGCATTGATTAGCTCTCAAAGATAATAATTAGAAAGAAAAACAAAACAAAGCAAAAAACCCAAACCAAACCAAACCAAAACACAACAACAAAACCTGACAGCTATATAGAAGAAGATATAGCTATTTGTATACGGACACTTTGTTCTAAGGGCCAAATTCCTACAGGTACCTGGGAAAGAATTCACATGAGACATGCTTATTGCTTCTTCTCTGAAAGCTATGAGGAAACAATACCTGGAAGAGCTTGAAGACAAAATCTGGCATGTAGCATGATTATTCACCTCAGAGCTCCTAGTGTATTCCAAGTACAACGTTTTTGGTTATTCTTGTCCCCATGAAAAATGGCAAACACAAAAGGACTGGAGAAAAACCTGCTTTGAAAGTGTACCCAGGGAAGAGCAAGCAGAAGCATTGTGTTGGGGAGATAGATATGCTGCTAGCCTTGGAGCCGTTAACACCATAACACAAGATGATGCCATTCATCTGCAATTGGAAGGGGATTTCTGTGTGTCTAGACCTCAGTGAGGGACACTCAGAAATGTTCTTGAAGGTTCAGCATGGCCAGATGTTCTCGTGTGCAGAGAGTTGCCTGAGGAAACTGTTGAGCAGAGTAGCATTGCCCATTTTACAAAACCAGACGTCTACTGTGTTGTGTCCTCTGCTATGCCGTTTGCTGTGGGGGTCGCCTTTCCACATCCTTTGTGTCCTTCAGCCTCCTGGGTCTGGAGCCCCTTCTGGAAGAGGGAGTGGATACACGGTCGTGAAATGTGGTCATTGAACTGCTCAGCAGACCAGAAATCGGTGGGGCTATGTTGGCACTGGTGCCTGCAAGCTAGCAGGGAGTACAGGATTGTCTCCCTGCCCACCCGTGAGAGCTGTGTGGCCTCTAAACAGCATCTAAAATCCCTGCTCTTTCTGGACAACAGCAGTACCTGCCAGGAGCCTGTGATACGTGTCAGTGTTGTCGCAGCATGGGCTAGCACAAAAATGAGTAAAAGCCAGTTAAAGATGACTAGAATCTGGGGATTTTAAGAACATCCAGATATGGCAGAGATCCTGATCTTTATTTAAGGTAGATAGGTGGGGGATTATTATGTTTGCTTCCTATAGAGGGAGGATGAATATAGTCACCCAGCTTTTCTGATAAAGCGCCACTGAGACAGTCATTACTGATTTGCAGCATGAACAGCAACAGGCGCTGTGCGAGGGACTGCCTTTGCTTTAGGGGAAGAATGCAGAGATGTAGGGAGAAATCAGATCTAAGACCTCACCAGTTCTGATGGCATCTTGCTACCTTGTCTGGCAACCCTCCCTTCTTCCCTCGCCAAACACACACAGAGTATAACTCCTGGCCTCATCAAGCAGCAGAGCATTAGGTGTCTAGACATTTCCCACGTGCATTTTAGCTTAAAAGGTCTGGCATGGAGCACCTACAAACCGTCAGATAATAGCACGGTTGCCTGCATAGACACAGGGTGTGTGCATGCTTTGGCAAGCAGTGCCAAATATAACTGTTTTTTTTCCTGTGCGATGTATCATCTCAGTGACAGAAGCTTGGCAAGAGGGTGCCTGTGCAGATGGCCGTTTCCTGTGATTTTGCAGGGTTTCTGGCGGGAGCGTGGCATCAGGTGAACCGAACACAAAGACGACTTTTTCGAAGGAACCGTCGTTACTGAGGCGTTCAAGTGCTGCGTATTCACGTACCTAGCCTGCATCTCCTGAGGTGTTGTTTGAAAATAAGCCCTTGGGTAACCTCCAGGAAGAGGGAGGCACAATGCAAATTAGAGGTGAGGGAGCAGGACTCTGAGATTTAGGTGCAAGATCTGCTCTGTGTTAGTTACTCATGCTATACCTATAGCAGTACCGAGTCCGGACTTGTTTCTTCACAGGCAGCCTGTGAGTTGCGTACACAAAAATGCAGTCTTGTGGGACTTGATCCAGAACCTGCATGTGATCATAACCCAGAGCACTGGTGTTTGCAAGGCCCTTCTGGAAATAGGATGTACGTTCCTGGCTGCTTAATGCTTTTCCAAATTCTGTCTCTCAGAGCATGCTCTGGCTGCTGATAGGCGATGTTGAGCAAAGAGATTTGTGGTTTGGTATGCAGTCACTAAAGTCAGCGAAGAAGGCAAGATGGGAACATCCTTATCTTTAAACAAAGTCCATGCACTGGTGCGGTTTTGAACGAAGATCTCAGCCTTTTCCAGAACTCCTCTGCACTGTCCGAGAATGAAAGGGATAAACAGTTTTCTTCCGGACAAAAGAAGGCAAACATTTATTATGCTGATTTAAAAAGAGAAGCAAGGATCATCTATTTCCTGCAGGACTGGAAAATTGGGTAATTCTTGTTCCAGCCTTCTGAGGATACAACACCCTTACAGACGGTAGCTATACGTGCCTGCTGTCACAATGCCATCATTTTATTTCGTTTTTGGTTTATTATGCTGAAACTCCTTTGCTGCAAGTATTAGAGCTGCATGCTGCGCACAGTAGCCAGCACTTTCTGATCTGGCTACGCTTTCAAGCCTTAGAGCAACTCCTGCCGATTTTTGTAATTTCTGAGTTTATGAGGACACAGTATCTAGTGGGAAGAAAAGAAAAAAGTGATGTAGACATCAATGGGCATCACCGTGTATAAGGTACGAAACATGCTTGAATGGCCATCTGTGTGTCCTGGTCTGATGCAGCACTTGACTCGCTGTGCCAGTTCAGGACTAAAGTAGCACGTATTACAAGATGTTATTGTTAGCACTGTGAAGTATCAGAGCTCAACTCAAACCAGATGTCCCAGTTTTTAAAATCTGTAATTTGGAGAAACCAGGAACTATGGCTTAATTTCCTAGCACATGATTAAACCTGCCTTGGGAAGCTGGAAGCAATCTAAGTCTCTGTATTCTGTTGAGGTTCAATAAATTGCTCAATTGATACTGTGATTCAGGAAATGGTCACCAAAATTTTCAAACTGAGGCCTGTCAGAAGTTAATTAATCCCTGTGGGATTAATTGCAGTATCAGAGCTTCAGTGAGGCAGGTGCTGTCATATCTTCCAGGGCAACTGGCCTTGTATGATGACGCTCTTGATTTCAGTAGGTCCTGTCCCAAAGTGCTCTTGGTGCTCTCAGAAGCAGTACTTGGGTGAGCTAGTGGCAGCTCAGGAGATGGCGATTTCAGAAGAAGAGTAGCAACTAGCTTGTAGGGGAACGTGGTGTGGGGTGAATGTTACCGATCCATGGCCTGGGCAAACAAATGTCCTGGGAGGTGTGAGGCTTTATGGAGAACTGACTTATTGGTAGGGGGCAAACAGTGCCTGAACAGTCATGTCAAGAGGGTTGTAGCAAGACCTGAGGGCTCCTTGTCACGGAGACTGCTGGCGACTGAACAGTTCGTCATTTCAGATGACGTGAAGAGCTCGTGAAGCCACTGACCAGAGGAACTTCCACCCAAGTTCAAGCCACCTGAACTTGTCACAACACACCCTTTCTGACCCTGACCCTCCAGACACTGCAGGCAGTGGTCGTCAGCATAGACAGAGGAGGACCATTTGCCATGAGCAAAGTCTGTAAACACAGCTGGCTTTAGGAAAAATACTTGCAGCCTACCTTTCAGATGGAAAGAAGTCCTGGTTTTAGTTGCATTGTACAGAAGAAAGAGAGTCCCTTCAGTTTATGAGACCTCTGCCCCTCGAGACGGGCTTGCATGGCAGCCTGTATTTTTCTGCATAGTATGCTGTTTTCCAGCAATCCTTCTTGGAGTCTTCAGGAGGACATGCTGGACTGTCATGTTTGCAGACCACAGACTGAGGACTCCTGTTATAGAGGTGTCCAGAGCTCAGAGCAACATGTTTGCGTTGTTAGCCTGTGCATCGTCCATCTATTCAGCTTTCCAGCTTACTTTGCTTGCAGTGGGTTCTTCAGTTGGGTTTATGCAGTTCCTCTACCTTCTGTATACTCTGTTAACAGCAAAAGCTGCAACAATAGAAACCTCTTTTTAAAATCCCAGCATGCAGAGTTACACCTCTGGGACTGCAGCAAGAGACAGCTGTGGCTGCAGAATTGAGGGTTAGAAGGAGAAATCTGACATCTCCCTCCTCTTGAGTGTACCGCCTCTTTCCTTTTCCTGTCTCGCTGAGATGGTCGCCTTGGGGATCACTAGCTCAGTGCGTGGATGTTTGGAGCAACCTTTCACAGCTAACGTGCCTTGGGTTGCAAAATCCATTAGCTTCAGCCCTGTAAAAAGTAGACTTAAAGTATAGTGGATATAATAAAATTATAGTGGTATCATAAAAATGTATTACTCTTTCATAAAGGATATTAAGTGTCTGAACATCTATAAAAAGGTTCTCCATCAATCCTCTACTTCAGTTCCTGCCTTGTGGGGCTGAGACTCTGCTTGTAAGAAATGCACACTGCATGCCTTCACTTAATTCATGGTGTTCATCAAGATGCACCTGCCTTGGGTCCACTGAAGCAACAGGGCCTGATCTGTTGTGCCTAACAGGGAGTAGAAAGTGGGTATGAGTGGAAACTGACTTGTTAGCATTGCCTGTCCAGCTTGCCCAGACACCTGTGGTGGTGTGACACACTGCCAGTGCAGAGTCAAGCTGTATAGGAATAGGATGAATTTTTTCCCTGCTTCTGAGTTGACGAACAAAGGAAAAACCATTGTCTTTGTCATCTTCCCACTGTTCCTGCAGCAAGGTAGGAGATGCTGTGTTACTCCCTGTCTGTCTCTGGCTCTGTGTGGCAGTACGTTTTCAGCTTTGCGGCAACCTTAGGGTGACTTCATGTTGGTGCTCCTCCTGCCGCATCTGAGTTTTTGGCAGACAAACTCGTGAGAAATCATCAGGGAAGTGCTGTGTTTCAGCTCTCTTAAATGCCTCACATTTTGTGGAGAACACCAAGTTGCTCTTAGCCAGACATGGTGGCAGCAGGTCACCAGGACGAGCTATTTTTATCCCCTGTCTTTATTTGTTTTCTAGCGTATTCAACTAAGGTCAACAAGTTTCCCGTCTTTAATTTTGATGATGACCTCAAGTATCATTGCTGTGAGCCCCAACACCACCAAGGCCACCCTCTATGCTCTCAACGTATGGAGATACTGGTGCATGACCAAAGGACTCAGAGATTACATGGACTTCACTAAGGTCAGAAAACTTAGCAAAATACTGTTTTTTCAGTTGTGGGAGCCAGCCTCCCTGGTGAAATGAAACTCAGGGTGAATCTAAAGATTTCTATATACACAACACTTGTACACACAGCTTTGGCTTCATGCTGACATGTGACAAGATTTCCTGCCGTTACCCTAAGGACATACTCTTTGCATGATTTCTGCTCCCAGAGCTAACCAATGCAATTCAGAGCATTTGAGGACTTTTCTCCAAAAATGAACGCCCAGCAAAATCAGTGTAGACACCAAAATAAGGACTGTGGCTATTGGCCAAAGCAAAAAGAGCCCATTTTTAAAAGGAAGTTTCTCTGCTAGGTTGATCTAAGACGTTAGCAAGCTAAAGCACCCTGACTGCAATACTGACATCTCATGGCCAAAAGAAGCTGTCGCTGCTTCTCTTTTTTCTCCTCCTCCTTCTTCTCCTCCTCCTCCTTCTCCTCCTCCTCCTCCTACTTCTTTTTCTCCTCCTCCTCCTTCTTCGCCTGAAAAGTTTCCGTATGTAGTACGTTACTTCGAAAGCACGGAGTGTCATACCCAAGTGGTAGGTCACTTATTTGCACACAGTCACACCTCAGTGTGACCGAAAACTTCATTCACTTCAAAAAAGCCAGGAATTTGACTCCTTTCTTCTAAAACTGGATTTCTGCAGCTGATGCAAAAGTGGTGGCAGCCAGTGATATGGATCTAGTCTATTTGAGCATCCTTACACCATGGGGTTTGATTGCATCTCTTTTGCTTAGATAAGTACATAGCCTCTTCCAAGATTCTAAGGATGCCCAGAAATGAACTTCTGTGGAAGTGCGGAAGCTGCTGTAGGTTTCATCACATAGAGCATGGAGAAGCTCTAAGCATGTCTTCCCCACCTGTGACGCATTTTCTTCCCGTAAGTACCTTGACACATCATTCCACCTCTTCCTCTTGTTCCAGATCCCAGCAGTGAAGCTGAATGAACTCCTGGAAGACTTTTACATCACCGTGAAGAAAACAAATGGTTCCGACTTTCTAGGCACATCCCTTCACGCTATCCGATGAGACCTGGACTGGATCCTCAAGAATGCCGGTGCTGGCTTCTCCATCACTGGTAGCACCTTCAGCTCTTCCACCAGAAAGCTCAAGGAGAAGCTCAAGGGCTTGGGCAAGGCTGGCATGTCTGGTGCCCGCTTTCACAACATTGTCTACTCCCTTTCTGATAAGGAAGAGATGTGGAGGACTGGATGCCCGGGAGATGACAGCCCCGTAGCCCTGCTGTCCACGGTGGCAAAATACAACAGCCAATATCTGAACATGTGAACCTTACTTAACGTTTGGTGACATTGAATTGCTCGAAGACTCCCAGAACAGGCTGCTTTTGCCAGAACAGATAACATGAAGCAAGAAAACAGGGTGAAGGTGAACAGAGCGTATTATGGCCAGATCTACCACGAGCACTCAAAAGGGCACAGGCTCTGCCCATACTCCCTTCTCTACAAGTACATGTACATACACCAGCCCCCGAGGCAGATGGAGGCCAAGTCTCCCTTCTACCTGACAGCCCAGAAGGAGGTCAACAGCATGGGGAACATCTGGTACAAGGAGCAGAGGATGGGGCTCTGCTCCCTCAGGGGTGTGGTCCCCAAGATGGCAAAGAAAGTGAAGCTGGAGCACTGTGAAAATTTTACTTTTGTCTCTTTCACTCAGGCTTCCAGAAAGTTTGTCCCTCTGAGCTCCTACCAGTAACTGTCCTCTGTCTGTTCTCAACAGCCAGAGTCCAAAGAAAGTCCTTCACCCAGTAGCTTTAGTGTGATAAGAAGAGGGTGAGCTGTTTTCAAACAAGAACAAAAGGAAAGACAGGATATTAAATTCTTTCTGAAGAGGACTGCACATGATGCAGTCCCATTTTGGGGATGAATACAGCCTTGTTCTGAAAAGCAGGGGGACAATGGTGCCTACCACTTCTGAGCAAAGTGGTGATGGAGAGCATTTTCCTCATCAGAGGCAGCAACGTGCGTATCATGGATTTTCCTGATTAGCAAGCATAGCTAGGAGAAAAGAGACTGAGTTTTGAGGACCAAGAACTCTTGAAACAGAAGTGCCTATGCTTTCTTTCAGAGCTACTCTACGAAAGTCAGTCTCTAGTGAACAGTATTTTTTGATGGTTCACAGTTTTCTCCACTTGTTTGATGTATTGTAAAATAGATATTTTTCAATACCTGGTCATTTACACTGGATCTGTAGGTACTGCTAGAAACTACTGTTGGCTTTACCAGATAACAAACAAACAGATGAAATTAATTACAGCATCCCCAAAGGACAGCATTTTCTGTCAGTCATTTATAAATGATGAACACTTCACTCAAAAATTATCAGTTTGGGGCTGTCCAGGTTTTGAGAATTCTTAAAGGCGGCTTATTTCAGAAGTCGAATGCTCAGCATCTTTTGAAAATAATACCACTCTGAGGTGTCTCAAGTCTGGCATCCAAATGAGGTAATTTTCAAAAATCGGTGGTCAGTTGTAAAAATAATTGCCTTAAACTTCTACAGCTAGGACTTGGTCCACTTTCTGTTGAGAGGAAAACAGCTGGAACTGTGGCAAGCCTTTAAGTCACACATAAGAAAACCTGGAAGACCTAAAAGGGATTTGGGGATGTGCAATTTGATGATGTGAAGTCTGCTTCTATTCCAATGGAAAGACGTGGCAGGTTTTTTCTCACAGGGTTGCAGGGCTGTGAGAGGATTGATGAGGTTTACTGAGCCCACTATTCAGTCATTAATCTCCTAGTACTGTTTAACACCTTGAAATCACAGCTTCAGTCCAATAGGTCCGTGATCGCAAAGATAAAATGACAACATGTTGTACTTTTTTTTTTTTTTGAAAGACAGCTTCTCCCTCCCCTAAATTACTTGAATTCTCTTTTTTTTAAGTATTAGTTTGATTTGTAGGATCTCTACGTTGTAAAATACAGTATTGCTCCTGTCTTTAAAATGCTTTTGCCAAGCATTATTTTAATTAAAAAAAAAAAAAAAAGTAATTAGCTGCATACCGAAACACAGAGTAGCATCAACTATAGCAGGGGAAATACCTGCTAGGAAAAGCAGCTACCTACAACCTTCACAGGCTGTGGATCTTATTTCCCACTGTCAGGGTGGTTTTTTAAGAGTCCAACCCTGGGAAGCCTTGGCAGCCTATGCTGGTGGAGGCAGAGGATGTTCAGGATTTCCAGACAAGCTCACGAGATGGAAATAGTTTCTGCCTGAAAAAGGTTTCAAGTGGGCATTGCTCCCAGAGGAAAACTGTTACTTGACATCATTTTATTTTGTTTCAGGGGCAATGGTAAAGGGCATTCCTTGTTAAAAAATATCATTCTGAGTCCTGCAGAGCAAACCACCGGGTAAGACCAAGGAAAATCAGAAGCTGGGCTGGGATAGGGTTTATTTGTCTTTGAAAGGAGCAGAAGCAGTTGTTCTAACACAAACCATTTTGACACCTGAGTGCCCCCAGAAAATCAAAAAGTTCAGTAACTAATGAAGGAACATATTCTTCAGAGGTGCTGACCTCCTGGAGCTCCTCCTGCAGTCACTGCCACTGAGCAGTTCCCAGGCTGGGATGTTGCGGTGGCTGTTAGCAGTAAAAGCAGTCAAGGTGAGGTTTCCTCAGGCACGAATAGGAGGTACAAAAGCCCAGTGGCTGTTCCTCTAATCTTTAGAAGATTTTGCCCTTAATTTCTTTGCTCGGTTGATGTGGCTGTATTTGGTGGGTCAGGAATGCTCTGCGATGGGCTCCAGAGTCCTGGTCCTGTGGCAACACAGGGTGGAGGGTTTCCTATAGAAGATCTCAGCTCCCTTCTCTGCCCATGTGCTAGGGGGAAACCTGGCCTTGCCAGAGAGGTGGGTACTTACCTGGGTTCAGACCTCTGCAAAAATAACAACTTGTTCCATATGTTAGCGGAGGGAACATATAGAGTAGGACTAGTTGCTTTAAGGCATGGTGACAGGGACTGCTGTGGTTTCTCTCAATGATTCCAGGCTTCTCCCTCTTCCCTCTAACAGTGTCAAGGCACTAGGAGCTGGGGCTGTAACTAAAGAACACTCCTCTGCCCAGACGTGTGCTGTTTGTAAGGGTCAATAAATATCCAAGGAAAGAATTTAGCTTATGTCAAATATCCCAAGCAGAAGGATAATACCTTTTCCATGTTTTGCGAAGAACTGAATATTCTGTATCTGAAAACTGAGTAAAACCCCAGGGACTGGTAGGTATCATACGATTCAGACTGACTTTGAGTTATCCTGTTGTTGTACTGTTCTTGTTCTCCTGAAGAGGCATCTGATATCATAGAGGAAACGCTAAGAGTGCATCAGAGTGCTATAAGGTGTTTTTTTAGATAGTGACATAGAGTGAAGTGAAAAAGCAAAAAAAAATGTTACTGAGTGCTTTTGTGAAGAAGAGTTGATCTTGATTTTGTCTCACAGTATGTCTTATTCCTTTGTCTGATGTCCTTGAGTTTGACAATTTGATGTCTGTTTTGTCATTTACAAGCAGTGTTTGTTATGAAATAAAAGTGGTATCACTCTTGTAAACTGTGGACCCATTATGAACTGAACCATTTCAGAAATTACTTGGATATGGGGAAGAACATGTGGTGTTTAACTGTCAGTTTTCCTCACAAGGAGTATTTGCCATTAGCCAAACTTCTTCTTCAGTACTGATGGTGCTTTTTCTCTAGTAGCTCTTCAAATCCATTATCCTGAGACCTACGTTTTATCTAACAATATTTAATTCATTTGACTTCTTTGGCTCAGCATATAATGATCGGTATTTCAGCAGTGATTAATGTGTTCTAATGAGGCCAGCATCATATTAGTATGTTATTTTTATCTGAAGGAGGCAATTTCCCTTGTGAAGGAATTCCTACCATAAGCCAAAAGACAAGGCTAAAAGAGGTGTGATATGACTTGTCGAAGGCCACAGCATGGGTCAGTAGGAGGGTACGGCCATTGCCCCAGCCAGGTCCACTTGTGGCACCCCTATCTGTAAGGTCATTGTTGATAAATGCAACTCCTTGTTGTGGTTTAGACCAGCCAGCAGCTAAATACCACCCAGCCACTTGCTCACCCTTCCCCACCCTCAAGGAATGGGGAAGAGAATTAAAGGGGAAAAGGGAAAGACACTCTTTTGGATTGAGATAAGAACAGTTAAATACTAATAATAATAATATATGAATATGTATGTGTATAATGATACTAATATATACAAACAAGGGATGCACAGTGTCATTGCTCACCACCCAGTGACCAAGACCTGTCCTGTCCCAGACTAATGATCCCGAAACAGGTAAGTCCCAACACCACAATCTGGACAAGCGAGAGGCCCGAAAAGAGAGCACAAGAGAGAGAGCACAAGAGAGAGAGCACTTTGAGAGTTTGAGGGTGAGAGCCCCAGAAGAGCAAAAACCCTTCTTTCCAGTCAGCCCTTGTCTTTATACTGGGCATGACGTTGCATGATATGGAATACTTCACTGCCAGTTTAGCCCTCAATCCCAAATCTAAATTCAAATCACAAGGGGAGTTGTAGACCCTTTGTCTCAGCCGTGCTCCCCTCAGCCTGTTGTGCTCCTGCACACTGGCAAGAACACAGGAACTGAAAAGTCCTTGAGATCTCGGTGCCAACTATAAACGTCAGTGCGCTGTCAACATTCTTCTCATGACAAGTCCCAGACTAAAACCAAAACAAAGAGCTCTTCCAGCTGCTAAAAAAGAAGAGCTAACTCTGTCCCAGCTGAAACCAGGACAGTCCTCTAAGAGCCGGTGCTCAAGAATCACCTAGCCAAAAAGAAAGTCAGGATACGTCAAAAGCAGCACTTAACCTTTTTGAACATGAGCAAATAATCAAATGCTGCAAAGAACAAAGAAACACCCCCTTTGCACAGCTGAGAATGACCACCATTGACACAGATGAAAGGGGACACTGGCACACCTCTCCTCATCAGGGTGGGGCTGCGCACTTAAGCACCTTATAGCAGACAGACCTGATGTTTTAGTTTTAACATTCTTTGTCATCAGGATGGATGATTAATACAATGTCCTCCTACAATCTTGTGTGCTGGAGAGGGAGGCAGACACTTATATTACACAGGACAGAGAGCTAAGTAGAGTCAGAGAGTGCGTGTGTGTCTACACTTTGAATTGTGTCCTTCTGAGAGGGCATGGAGCCAGCAGACCGCCTGGCATAGTGCGTTCAGTCCACTTAAGTTGAAATTAAGTGATGTTTCAATTTTACTTCAAGAAAATGTTTTTTCTCAAGCCAATGTAAGAAATACATTTAATTCAATTAAGTAAAACGTTCCATACTTTGGCAGACTTTCAGTTACTCAGAACATTGATTTCAGACCTTATCTGCTCAATACTATTTAGTAAGTCACTAAGCTTTCCTAAAAAAAAACAAACCCAAAAATGCCACATGCAGCAGTCCTGAGCCAGGCCATGCAGAATTACACCTGCATATAGGCAGAGTCTAAAGAACTTCGCATTTGTAACCCACTCACAGGTTTCCTATGGACCTAAATATGAATGAGAAGGGAAAATAGTAACAGTTTTAAGATGTACGATTTACTTTTTAAAAAAATCTCATACGCTGTGCTTTTTTAACTCCATTTGTTGTCTCTTTGCCAATCTTATCACTTGGGGGGGCTCAACGTAGAAGAGTTGAATGCTTTGGGTTGCAAGGCAGTGGTCCATTTTGC